GCAAGCATTTTGAGAAAGCAACTTTTTTTTTTCTTTTTTTGAAACAAGCTCTCACTATGTAGCCCTGGCTAACCTTGAACTCACTGTGTAGACAAGGCTACCTTGGAACTCAGTGTTCTCTCTGCCTCTGCCTCCCTAGTGCTGGGATTAAAAGTGTGTGGCACCACACCCTGCTGGAGCTCCTTATTTTAATGACGGCCCTGAATTCACCACCTAATTAGCACTCAAAGGCTCCACTTCCAAATGGTATTAATGTATCGATTTAGGCATGATTTTCTAATACATGAATGTTGGAAAATGCTTTCAAACAACAGGTGTGTGTGTGTGTGTGTGTGTGTGTGTGTGTGTGTGTGTGTGTGTGTCCATTGGTAGCTAACTTCACAATTTCTCTAAAGACACGGACTCTCTGATATGTCCACAGAACTACTTCAGTTCCTGCACCCAGCTCTGAATGTCTACTTGTGTCTACTTGCATATCACAAACTATGGTGAAGAATTCATTAAGAGATCTTGCCTAGTTCAACCTTTTTCATAACTGCATATTAAGGAGCACAAAAAGCCAGTCCTTTAAGGATAATCAGTTTCCTGTAGCAGATAGAAAGGGTTTTCTGTGTTCAGCAAAAGTAATTAGTAATGTGTTCATAAACAGGTATACGAGGTGATGATTTGATTCCTAATTCTGCAGCCTTGTCACATAATGATACCATGCTTGATGATGTGCCTCTTCTATTCCCTCTCACTCTCCAAATACATTGTGGGGCTTTAGAGTTCCATGAATGAACAGAAAAATCAAAAACGTCCTTAAACAATCTAAGGTCACAGCAACAAATGGGTCCAGGATTAGAACAGATTCCTTTATTTCCTCAACTGTTGCTCAGTATAAGCTTCTTTTTATCCTGGAGACATTTAACTGTAGCATCAGCTATTTGTCCTCTGGCATGGGGCCTTCGGGAAACTCTACGTGGGGCTGTGGATATTGAGGGAGGGCCCTCTTACTAAGCAATTTAATGAGTAAAACTTTCCACCAGTGGAATGCTGGGGAAGCATTTTGTGGATAAGAGGAGAAAAAAAGATGCTATTTTAAACATTGCTGAGAGAGTTTGGGCAAAATCCATCTGGCAGACAAACTATTTCTTCCGTTCAGAAACTCATCAAGCACTCCAAACGTGCAACCTGTAGGCAAGTTTAATTAAAGCTTGAGAAATCTCAAAATAGCCTGACATTTAAATATGTTATTTCCGTTCTCAGATAGTTTGGCATGCTCACAGAGGTTCTCTGGGGTTCAGATTAAGCTCCCCCATGACATCCTGCCCTGCCTAAACACTTGATTACTCCGTATTAAAAACCACAGGAGTGTGAATGAAACTACCTTATCTGACCCATGTCCTCCCACTTAATAGACAAGCGGGAAGGCAGATAGAAACTTGAGTGGATGAGTTAGTAAGAAGATGTTTGTCATAGATACTGTGATGGATGATAGGTAGATTGATGATACATACATGCAAGCATGTATAGAATGCTGCATAGATATGTACATAGATGAAGCAGAATTTGTTTCTTTTGTCTTCTCTGGAAAAAGCAGTCATTGACTAAAGTAAGCAAGCATTAACACACTAACCCTGAAGGATTCTAAATATGCACATTCTGTCTTGAAGGAGTAATTTCATTCTTCAGTGGTTTAGAGAGCCCTGGCCTTCCTTCCCAGCCCCCATCTTCAGTGTTAGGTGCAGGTATTGCCTAACTCTGTGTTGGGTCCCCTTCCTCCCCCTTTTCTTTCTGCTCTAGTGTTTGTTTCTTGTTTTGTTTTGACAGTGTATTGTTAACAGCCCAAGCATAAAAGACTTGGGTTTCTGACTTGTATTTTTTTTTTTTGTCTCCTTGAGAATTCTTTGAACATATCCTTCAGGGCAGGTCTCCTAGGAATGGATTCCCTCAGTTTTTGTTCATTTGAGGAAGTCTTTGTTTCTCCTTTATTTTTGAAGAATACTTTCACTTAATATAGAATTACAGCTCACAGACTTTTCTTTCAACATTGAATATTTCACTCCACTATCTAGAGATAAGATTGATTTCTGGTAAGACATTTACTGCGGTCCTGGTCTAAGTATTTCCCCCTTTAACATTCTTTCAAGTTTATTCTTTGTCTTTGGTTTCCTGTAGTTTGAATATGATATGCTATGAGTGGTTGAGGGGTATTTGTTAATTCATTTGTTATACTTATCTTTCTTTTCCCCCTTTTTTATTGTTTAAGAATTTCATGCATGTACATAATTTGTTTTGATCAAATCAACCCTGATTCTGTCCCTTTCCCCCTACCCCTTCCCATTTTTCCCTCTCAATTTCATGTGCTCTGTTTTAAACCTACTGAGTCCACTTACTGCTACCTGTATGTGCATGGGTATGGGGCCACCTACTGGAGGCTGAGTAACCTCTACCACATGGGGTGGGGAGGACTGACTCACCCTCCATCACTAGCCATCAGTTGCCTATAGGTCTTCAGCTAGGAGTGGGACATCATGAGCCCACCCCCTCCATCCATGCTGGGATTTTGCTGACTTATGCATACAGTCATAGCCACTATGAGTTCATGTGTGTAAGAGTCCTGTCATGTCCTGCAAATACTGTTTCACTAAAAATATTGGCTAGCTCCATCTCTTAGAATCTTTCTGCTGTCTCTTGATCCCACAATAATCCCTAAATCTTGGGGATAGGTTATATATATATTTACAACTGTGCACTCTGTAGTCTCTTATTCTCTGCACATTGGCCAGTTATGAGTCTCTGTATTAATAGCCATCTACCGCAAAAGAAAGCTTCTCTGATGAAGGCATACAGATGTACTAATTATTTATCCAGTTTGATGTTATCCAATCTCTACTTCTGTGGTTTGGTGTTCGGCATTCATTTTGGAAAGCTCTTGACTATTATGCTTGAAATGTGTTCTGCCTTTTTTCTGTATCCTTCTGCTATTCTGGTTATATGTATGCTTCATATTTCAAAGTGATCCCTAGGTCTTTGCATCCTTAGTTCAGCTCTGCTTGTTCCTCTGCATGTCAGTGCAGAGACCTTCTATTAACCTGTCTTCAAGCTCACTGATTCTTTCCCATGCCCAATTGTTTCCAAGTCCATCAGAAGCATTCTTCCTGTCTGTTAAAGCATTTTTCATTTCTTTTAGATTCTTAGAATTTTAGTCTGTTTATGTTACCTATTTATTATCAAATGATTCTCTTTTTCATTATATTCCTTACCATATTAATCGTAGTTTTTTTTAATTCTATGAATTCTAAAACCTGCATCATTTCAACTTTTTCTTATATATACTTTGTTATGTAATTTGTAATTGTCTCAATTGTCTCTGTTGAAGGCTAGAAATGAGGTAATAGGACCTGAGGTAAATAAACATTTAGCATCAAGTTTTATGCTACTCTGACTAGGAGCTGTGGTATATGTTGGTCAGAACTATAGGTGACAAGAGGTTCATATTCTTCTTGAACTCTCTCTTTTTCTCCCTTAATAACCACGCTTCCTTAGGTCCTCAGAGGAGTTATCTGTTTCCATTGCAATTTACCACTACTACACAGAAGTCCTGCTGGGATAATGTACAGAGGAGAGGAACTCATCTAAAAATCATATGGTTAAGTCTTTGCCTTTTGTACTAGGTGTGAGCTGTGGCCTTCCAGGACATGTTTTGCTTTCCAGCCCTTGGATGAAACAAAAACACTAGAACGGCTGCACTAAGGAAAATACACCTTCCTCAACAGGGATAAAGCTCTGGCCAAGAGTTTTCCCTAAATATGAGATCAGATAAACACTGGACATAAATGGCTGTAATCATTGGTATTTACTAAAATAAAATTTAAAGTATAGTTCTCAGTAGGAAAAGTATGCAATACAGTTGTCTTAGTTAGGGTTTCTATTGCTGTGAAGAGACACCCTGACCACAGCAACTCTTATAAAGAAAAACATTTCATTGGGGTTGCTCACTTTCAGTTTCAGAAGCTCAGTCCATTATCATGTGGTGGGAAGCATGGCGGCATGCATGCACATGTGGTGCTGGAGTAGTAGCTAAGAGTTCTAGATCTTGCAGGCAATAGAAAGTTGATGAAGACACTGGGAGGTATACTGAGCATAGGAAATCTCAAAGCCTGCCCCCACAGTGACACACTTCCTCCAACAAGGCCATACCCACTCCAACAAAGCCACACCTCCTAATAATGCCACTCCCTATGAGATTATGGGAACAAACTACATTCAAACTACCACAACAACCATTTTCCAAAATTCCCTTGGAAAGAGAGCTTTTCAAATATTTGTAATGGATAATTATGTCTTCTTTAAGATAAGTGGTGCCTTTAGTGTACAGAGAGCTGAAGATAAATTGGTTTTTTTAGTTTTGCTTCCTGTTGCTGTGATATATATGTTGACAATAACACTTAAGGAAGAAAGGGTATATTTGGTTCACAATTCTACATTATAGTCCATCATGATAGGGAAGTCAAGGCAATAGAAACTGAAAGCAACTAGTCATATCAAATCCATAGTAAAGAGTAGATAGCAACAAACACATGCATGCATGCTAATGTTCAGCTTTCTTTCTCTACTCTGAGTAATAATCCAGGATCCCCTCCTCAGAGAATGACACCACCCAGAGTTGGAAAGTCTTCTGACCTCTATTAACATAATCAAGATAATCCCTTACTAGATAATGTCTCATTGAGATTCCATTTTTCAGGTGATTCAAGATTGTCTCAAGTTGACAATTAAAGCAAACCATGAACTACAGGCAGTAAGCACATGGTATTTGCTGAAGAGTCTGTATTTCCCATTGGAAAGAACTTACTGTGTTGAAGGAAAGTCAATATCTTATTAATTTACCTTGTGATACCAAGTCTAAAATGTATAATTGAATAATTAAATTTGCAATTTTGTTTGAGATATAAAAGGAAAATCAATGGAGGGTGAGTGGACTGGTGACTGAAGACTGCTTTTCTGTCCCACAGCCTCCTGGCAAAAGCAGGGGGAAACCATCGAACTGCTAACGTGGTGGCCCATGGGTTTGCCAATCTTTTAATTCTGGACAAAAAGACTCTCCAAGAAATTCTGTTACATTATCCATCTTCTAAAAAGCTCCTCATGAAGAAGACCAGGTATGACCTGTAAAGTCCCAATAGAACCAGATGTGATGGTTGTAATGGCTGGTTTTGTGTGTCAGCTTGACACAAGCTAGAGTCATCAGACAGGAAGGAGCCTCAGTTGAGGAAATGCCTCCATGAGATCCCGCTGTAAGGCGTTTTCTCATTTAGTGATTATTGAGGGAGGGCCCAGCCCATGGTGAGTGGTACCATCCCTGGGCAGGTGGTCCTGGGTTATATAAAAAGGTAGGTTGAGCAGATCAGGGAAAGAAAGCCAGTAAGCAACACCCCTCCTTGGCTTCTGCAGCACTTCCTGTCTCCAAGATCCATCCCCATTTTCTGTTCTTGTCCTGACTTCCTTCAGTGATGAACAGCAATGCTGAAGTGTAAGCTTAATTAACCCTTTCTTCCCCAGTTTGCTCTTTGGTCACAGTGTTTCATCACAGCCATAGAAACCCTAACTAAGACAATGGTGTGTACTTGGACTCCCAGTACTTGGAAGCCTGGGGCAAGAGAACTGAACGGAGTCCCAAGCCAGATTGAACTACAGAATAAGATACTGTATGGAGGGAGGTGGACAAAGTTGGTTTTACTCTATAAAACCTAAGATGAGGGTAATTGTAGTACATGAAGTTAGTTACCACTTTCTTCATGAGCTACACCCCATACTGAAAGGTGAGTACCCACTGAAAATTCATAGGTGGGAGAAATTATCACTTCTTAGGGAGGATTCATGAGAGCTGTCACAGAACCACTCAAAACAGTGTTCTTCTCTTGTCTCCAGGGTTCTTTTAAGCCAGAAGGAGAAGACTACGAAGGCAACCTCTCCCAAAACAGGACCTGCCTTTCTTTTCCCACCAAAAGAAGAGACACCCAAAATGTTTAAAGCTCTCCAAGGAAGCACAGCAAGAATAGACCTTGAAAGACTCCTCAAAGGCAAGAGAGAACACGTCGCTCAGGTAACATGATTGATGGGAGCACAGTGAATGGAAGGCCAGCAGCAGAAGTGGGGGGGTGCTGCATGGCGAACATCCAGGAACATCCAGGCAGACTCTAGTTCAGACATGGGGCAATTTGGACTAACACTTGCAATTGTGCTTTAGATTGGCATTTATTATTTAAACTTTTTCTCCTTTTACCATTAGATGAAATCATCACTGGTTCACTTTGAGTTAATATGCATATTCATAAATACACTCAAATTTAATTGTTCATGAGTTCTATATGTGTGAATCTCCTTACTTTATGATAATTTGTCGGTAACCCCCAAATCCACACATATTTTTGTGTCACTCATGACAAGTAAAATAATAAAACCAAAAAATAAAAGGAGGAAATTTGATAGGTGCACTATCAGGGAAGTTGACCTCAAGTTCACTCCTGTTTCTTAGGCAAATAAGTGGTCCGATGCAATCTATTTGTTGCCATGGCTTTTTTTGTTTTATTTTGTAGTTTTGAGTTTTCAATTTAAATTTTTTGGTGGCTTTATTGTACTAAGAATAGTACTTGAGTACTGCCCAAACTTCCTAAGTACAAAATTCTATGGTATCACTGAGAGAGGAAATACATATTATAATCTGTACTCGGGTTACTGGTAACAGTCAAATTATCTGTGAGCTCAGTGTGGGAATGTGTAATTCATTGATTAGTTTGAGAATTAAATAATATATTTCTAAAGAAAAGCATGCAACCAATAAAGTTATATATTTATCAATTGACAAAAACCCATGTGCTCTAAGATCCATAGGAAACTGGCCCTATATTTCCCCTGGGAGCAATGGTTATATTTGCTACTCTGGTGTTCAGGGTAACTTGATAAAACAAACACCAGTCCTAAAATCATGGCCACAAGAATGAACAGGAATCATGGCTTTTTTTTTTTATTTTTTTTACTTTCAAGTTGCTATGACAAAATATCTGACAAGAAGCCACTTAAGGGAGGAAGAGGTAATATTGGCTTACAGTTCAAGGGGTGAACAGTGGGTAGGCATGGGGCAGGAACAGGAGACCAGACAGTCACATGATATCCACAGTCAGGAAGCAAAGAGTAAGCAGGAGGTGGAACCAGGCTACAAAATCTCAAGGCCCACATCCAGAGACTCACTTTTTTTCCACCAAGGCTCAACTCTACCTCCTAAAAGTTTCTACAACAATCTCAAATGTTGCTGCCATTTGACCAAGTATTTAAACATATGAACCTATGGAGGGACATTTCAGAACACAGAGTAACAAATACATACACATAGAAATGTAAATATATAAATCATGTCAACAAGATGCTGGTGAGCAACATTTTCACAAATATTTAATCAACATATAACAAAATATTAAGAAACAGAAACAGCCCTACATATTTCATCAAGACATCTGTGTCATAAACAGACCCAGTCCACGACTTTGGATTAGGTCACAATGAACTATGGTGCAAACTGTTAATCAACATTCAGATTTACACTGAGCTACCTGGTAATTCCTAGGAATGTAAAGACAGTGAAACCATGCTGCCTTTTCTCCTTTTGTTGTTTCTGCTTTTCTTTGATGCTCATAGTAAATTGTTGTAAACAAATATAGAGAAATAGAACAGGTACTCAAGCTTTCTGAAGTTAATTGTTATGCTCTCTCCAACATTTAGAAATGGGTAGCCATGAACCCTTTCAGAAAGTGAAGAAAACAAATATTACAAAATCATCACATTTTAAGATTCTAAAACTTGGACCTTTGTCTTTTGCACATAACACTGTGGTGAATAATAAGAGTACAATGTAAACCAAATGTCTCAGCTCTAGCAACCTAAAAATAACAATTTGTACAAGAAACACATGCACTAAAGATGTGAGATTTCTACAGATAATACTAATAAATAGAACTAGCTAAAAAACAATAGCTTGGGGCTGGAGAGATGGCTCAGTAATAAATGTACCTGCAGCCAAGTCTGCCAGTCTGAGTCCAATCAAGTACCCACATAGTGGAAGAAAAAATTAATGCCCTCAAGTTGTCATCTAACATCCACATGGATGCTGTGGCACACACACACACGGACACACACGGACACGGACACGGACACGGACACGGACACGGACACGGACACGGACACTGTGGAGACTCAAAGAAGCTTCCTAGGAAGACCTTACTCAAAGTCAAAGAGCTTGCTTTACCCAGCAGGGCTGCATAATGGGATGATTTGGCCATGGGCATGGTTACCAGGTGTTTTGAAGAGTCTACATTTGGCTGAAAAATGTGCTTTGACCTTGAAAGGGGGAGGTCTTTGCCTTGCCCCTTGGTATTGTATAAAAAGCCCTTTGGAATAAACCTTGGGGCGACTGGATATTGACCCAGGGCCCTCCTGAAGCTATTCTGTGTCTCTGTCTTTCTTATCATCTTCTATTTTTTCTATCTAATTCTTCCTCATTCCTCTCTCCTTCCCCCAAGAACCCGTTGAAAGGTGGAAGCTGGACTCCAACAGACTCCCACAACACACAAAATGTAGATTTTAAAAAATAGCTCAAATACTCAAGAAAAGAGATGTGAGTTTCTCCCTGAGTTTCTGCCATTATTGGAAAGGAAGCCAGACTTTCTATTCTATATTGTATATGTTTAAAAATATACATTATTAAAATTTATTAATAAATATTTAAAATATCACCTCCATAAAATAAGCATGTTACACGAACATTTAAACACAGGAAACAGTAAGAAATGACAGTGAGCAGCAAGACAGACATGATTGCTATAGTCACTCCATTTAGATGGTGTTTGGTGGTGACTCTAATATCTCAATTATGGTTTCAACACTAGTTCTTTATCATGGCTTCTTCTAGAAAAAAGGTGAAAATTCCAAAGGAAGAGAGAGGAAAGGAAAATAATATGAAGATCAAGGAACAGAGCCAGCAGAAAAAAACACCGGACGGGTCCAACTGCAGAGTAAGTTCTATTACAGCAGAGGAAATGCCCCAGTTGATTAAAGAGGCAGTTTCACAAGGAACCGGCCCGTCAATCACTCATCATCAGTATGGCTCCTGCTACTGAGACTGGGGAAGCATTTCTGACTATTGCAATCAAAGAAAAGGCTAAGCAGTAAGTGTTTGATTATCTTTAGATAGAATCTAGTTCATTCCCAAAGAGATGGTAACCAGGATTGTAGCTTAAATTAATGAGGGAAACTAACCTCTGGGGGACCTGTGGAAACTCCAGGCAAATCCACAGCTTCATTTTCAGGACTTATCTGACAATGGTTTTATTCATTGACCAACCCTAGTTTCCACTGTTACCAGCTTCGAGCAATTGCTATTTCTTTTAAATGTCTATAGTAGTTATTTTTCCTCTTCTCTCCTGATGATGTTTCCTTGTTCTCCTTTGATAAACTTGATTTAATGTTACCGTGATTTACTGTCCTTTCTGCCTACATTTTTGCGCTATGTTATATCTGGCACAGCACTGTTAATATTGGCCAAGTGTCCCAGGTAGACTCATCTTACCTCTTATGTATAGTGGAAGGGTGTGAATGTTTTAATAAAATAGGTCATGAATCAAAGGGTTTCTATTTAAACAAGGATGGTGAGTCACTAAATCTGGCAGCTGACATTAAAATGGGCTGATGTCATGGAACCTTCTGAATAAGAACTCTGATTTTCACTCAAGGCCAATATCTGTTAGCAAGATTAACAAACCTATAGAGACAAAAAAACAAATCACAAGCTAAGTTCCCTCACTTTAGCAACCAGACCACAACCTCTTGGAACCTCACCCCAGTGACTTACAATGTCTTATACAAACTTTCGGAGTCTAACTCACCTGACCAACGGTGCGTTTCTCAATCAGCCCATTTCAAGAAAGACAACTTGAGTAAAAAAAAAATACAACAGAACAAAATAGTGGGGTGCTCACCTATCTATCTAGAATAAGACCTCTCACAGATGGCACACAAGATAAAAGATCCCCCTTTCCTGTTGTAAAAAGAAGTCTCATAGAGGCACAATCCCTATTCTAAGCACTTGCCCACCGCTCCTCTTACAGTTCATTTTAAGAAAGTCTCACTTGGACTTTCTATTCTTTTTGCTTACTGTGTCACCAGCCTTGCACATGCTATTTCACATGGCAAAACCCGTCGGCAGCACATCTCGGCAAAATCAGATGGCAGCAACGTGCTGGAAAAAGTGGACCCCTTTCCAAATGAATTTCAATGTTTGCCCTCATACTAACTTAAAAGGCAGCACTCTAACTCCTCTGGCCCAACAGGCAGAGTGGAGTCAAACTGTTTCCATCTTGATGCAGGCTAATGTAACATTTTCCAGAATCTTTCTTAAGCACTGGCTTCATTTAAAAGGTACCTGATCGGAGTGCCTTGTTGTTTTAAGCTACAGTTCTAAGTAGTAAGATTAGGAGGTCCTACATACAGCACACCTCAGATTGACAGTTCCTCACAATTTTCGGGATCTACATGTACAGCTGTTTACAAAACCTTCAGGTTAATTAAGTGCCCTTCAGGAAGTTGTCCTCAGACTTCAGTTAGCACTAAGACAATTAAAGTTGCATGCTGGTAAGAGGCCAAAATTACCAGGCTAGTATTGAAAGTAATAATATATACAAAATTTCATTCTAATGAATGCCATTAGTATGTAATGTTGAGTTCTTTGTAATATGGCTGCTTCCAAGTCCCAGAAGATGGTTATTGTAATAGCACTTTGCAAAGAAAATTTTAATAAATTAAATTTGCTCAAAACTATACAATATGGATGGATTTAACATGCTTTGTGACAATCAAAAGTTGTTTTTTCAAAGGTATTGTTTGATCAATTTTTACAAAAGGCTGATTGATATTTTTCATAATTGAAGTTTTTAAATGGCAATTTTTAAATGGCAGTTTTAATATTATGAACAAAAGGTTCTGAAAAGAAGCTGGGCCTATAAAAGCTAAATGATGCTATTATTTAGCCTATAAAAGCTAAATAATCATTAAAAATTCAATGATTGTGGAGTGGTTAGAAGGTTGCACATCTAGATCCTAATCACAAATTTTCTTGAGCTTCCTTTAGCCTCCTCCATACCCATTCATTACCCACCTCTGGGAATGACCTAATATCCTTTACTAGGTAAATCCCTTTGGAATGTATGAACAGGCTGTTTCCCTTCCACAAGCTCAAACGCCAAGAATGTCATTTGACAGTATCTGGAACCTTCAACAGAGATTTCCCACTTATGTGGTAACGAAGGTACCTTACATACTCACCAACACATGTGAAAAGTGTGTTCACTGACAACTTCCCTTGTTCTGTCACCATAAAAACTTCATGCTGCTGCCACCTTTGAAAATGGAATTTGGGGTGAACTATATTATGGCCTGGGACCTCATATTTGCTTCATAAATAAACCATCTCTTACTCTTTTGATGGGAGACTTGTGTTTTTGCATCAGCAATATGTAGGAGTTAGGGTATGTAATGGTAATTTTGAAACCAGAAAGAAAGAATCTGATAACAAAAAAAAAAAAAAAGGAAAACATGGTGGGCTTGTATACACGTTCGCTCCTTTTGACTTTTTCCAAAGAAAACCCAAATATCCCATTGCAGCTCACGCTCTTCTGTTTTTCCTTATTCATCCTCTCATATTTTCCCTTTTCAGATAATACCATCTTTTTATTTCCAATCAGTAATACTAAGTTTCAAGCATAATCAATAGCATTAATCAATGGCTCTGTAATTTATTGTATAGTGGTACTGGTGAAGGACAGAAAGACCAGGAACCTATGGAAAGCAGGAGAAGAAACCCCTCGCCTAGGAATCTGATTGAAACCTCTGACCAGGGTCTAGAGTGATGGTTCACAGTTAAGAGCACTTGATGCTTTCTGAAGGACCTGGGTTCAATTTAGTACGGTGGCTAAAACCATCTATAACAAAGGCAAAAATCTTCAGACCAACTGAGAAGGAAGAATTCTAGTAAAATTAATATTTGCTGGGAAGGTTGTCCACATAGAAGCTTTTAGGCTTTTTTTTTTTAGAAGTTCAAGTGTTCAAAGTTGAAAAATCTACCAAACTGCATTTTTGCAAAAATTCAGTGGTACCAAACACTTTGCAGCTGGTGAGACATAATAACCCTTTCATATTGAGATGGTTTATGATAAAACAGCAATAGCCTAGGCACAGACCTGAAGGTAGATGATCTTGGGTAGAGTCTCATTCCTTCCCCAGGCATTTTCTGGGCCTCTCATACAAAGTTGTCAACCTAGTTTGCTATGCTGAGATCCCACTTTGAGGCTGGTAAGATTGCTCAATGGGTAAAAGTGTTTGCCATGCAAGCCTGATACCTGGACTTAAACCCACAAAAAAAGGAGAAAACTAATTTTGAAATCTGTTCCCTGACCTCTGTGTATTTACTGTGGCATGCATGTGTATGTTCCCTTCCCCCATCATACAATAAAAATATATTAAATAATTTAAGTAAAAATACATTGTACATTCTTGCATCCCTGTGATCTAGAATTTACCTTATCAGTTGTAAACCTATAAGGTGTCCCTCAGGAACTACCCTGTGATCTCATTTAGGTTTCTTAGCAACACCTTAGAGATAACGGCTTAAAACCCAGCAAAATCTGTAGGACCGTTAACAAGACAGTGAAGTGCAACTCTCCTAGAGAAGCCTGTGCCCATGCTCTGAGGTGTGTCCTTCTTTCTAAGTACCTCTCTTTCTCTTGACCCTTGTGTTTAACTCTATATTAAATTATTATTTTTATTAGACCCAACCCTGCTTCTTACTGCCTAGTTCTGAAATTCAGCATCCAAGCCATCAATGTTGAGTTTGCCTGAGGCAAGTTCCTTAACATGTGAAGGTAACTCCTCGGGCAGCTGTGGAGCTGTGGCTCTGTTCTCTTTGCCACTCCCTATTCCATAGTTAAAATCTTTCTAATTTTGCTTTCTTTTTCAGTTCTACAATTAACATCCAGGATGTATTTTTCGTTCAATCCAAACAAAGACTCACTGTTCACCTAAAGTCAGTTCTTTCACTGGTCTAACTTCTAGGTCCTCTTGCCATAACGTTTTTCTAAAACACCATTTTTCAGCATTGTACTTCCTTACTTGGGTATTGTATTAGTTAGGCTTTTAAAAGAAAGAAAACCAGTAGATTTTTGAATTCAGAATGAATTACACTGTTGATTCGCTTGCTTCTCAAGCCTTTGGGCTCAGAATAGACTCCTAAAAGGAGCTTTCTGTGGGGGCCATAGAATAAACAGCAGATGACAACTAATATTCAACTGGTTGACCCACCAGATGAATACCTGTCTGATAGGGAGCCAAACTAGACAAAGACCATGGGGTTACTGGCTGTGGTTACCATTTGTTTCTGTCTGTAATTTTCTCATGTGACGCCATAATTCCTCCCTAAAAAGAACAGCTGTGGGGTTCTTTACACAGCTCATTGGTAGTATGTTTTATACTTTCTGGGTACACATATGTCTGTGGATGGTCAGGAAGATGATTTCTTTTTAAGCTGTATAATTTTGATGAATAGAAACAATACTGGGATATTTTTCATAGCTCAGACTGACATTGGAAAATAACAAATTCTCAGTTACAAAGATAGTTTTTTTTTATACCATTAGCTGATTTAAGACATCAAAACAAATTTAAAACAGACAAGTTGCCCCTGCATATAAATTGCACAATGACAGATTCCCAGGTGTCTGCTGAATCAAGGTCAGACATGAAGCAACTTTAGTGCCAGCTTGTCACTTGCAAAAGTCTGGCTGGTAACATTAAAGATATAAGTCCCTTCATAGATTCTCTCAACAATTGACTCTCTGCACATACCCCTAACATCAGTTTTATGATGCAGGACTTAAGTCAACTGTTTATTGTTTAGGTCCTGAATTTCAATGTCACTCTCAGTTGAGAAACACTGGGTGCTCAGTGTATGTGCCTCCTGACTTTGCTTTACAGACTGCACATTAAGGGAACTTGGCTGACAGTCAAGCGTCATCATGGTCACTCACTGGCCAGTCCAGGTGACATCACAAGCCTGAGAGAAATCATGTGACTTCTCGTGTGTTATCAGAATGGCTCTGTTTCTTGTTGTTTGCTCAAGAAATGTTATGTGTCCCTCAAAATGTAACTCATATATTTGTTCAGAGTTTTTTTCTATGAGAGATCTGTGTAGACAGACCTATGTAGGGGAGAGATGTGTAGCTGTGTAGAAGAGAGATGTAGCTATGTGAAGAGATATATAGCTGTGTGGATACAGATAAGTTTTCAGAGGAGATTTTTCAAGTTGAAGTAAAAGAGAAAGTTACAATCAGAACATGTGTGTTTCCTTTATTACCCCTCAGATAGAAAAGATTAGCCCTCACCACATTCATGGATTTTTTTTTGCATACTCTAAGCTGCTGGAGGCTGGCTCTCTAGGCAACAATAGCTTTCCTGGGCTTTTGGATTGGAAAGGGAAGGTTTGAGGCTTAGTCTCCATAATTATGTGAGCCAGTTTTTGATAATAAACACTTACATAGATTATGTAATACATCTATTATATATTTAAATATAGA